ACAGGCATGTATCAAGACCTGTGGCGGTTCCTATGTTTTCTTTAACTATTTCCTCTTTGATAGTATAATGATGGACTTTTAAATTCTATCACTGAACATTTTTACCGATTTGTTCTAACTTATTAATAAAGAAATTAAAACTTTTTAAGTGCAAAAATGTTCCACCCTGTTCTTGATCACTGGCATTAGTTTAAGTATGCTAAAACCTATCTCAATCTATTTGGATTGCACTATAATAATTTAGTCACTAAAGCATGTATTTCTGTTTTGTAAATTAGAGTTTAAGAAAAACTTCCTTTTTTTCCATTTATGTATTTGGTACAAGGTCTTACTACGCAGCTTGGACTTGTTGTGATCCTCCTGTTTTCAGCCTCCCCAGCGCTGGGATTATAGGCATGCACCACCACGTGTGGACTATGTCACAGGCTAGCATGCTCTGGGGGTGGGGCAGGCACAGCATGCAGGACCAGGGATTGAACCTTGCACTTGTCAAAGCAGATGCTGGGTCCGCTGAAGTATCTTGCTGGCCTAAGAAAGACTTTCATGTGATGATTTAATTCTGGAGACAGTTTTAAAAAATATTTGTAATTATTTAATTGTGTTACCTTTTACATTCAAAAGAAGGATAAAGGAAAGGGTATATGTATTAGTTCATTTGTACAGAAATGTTCCATTTTACTTAATATGGTTAGTTGCATTTTAGAGGTATAGTAAGTTCTATTTCAAGCAATATAGAACATCAGATAATTTGGCACTTTTCTTTTTGTTTTTAGGACAGGATGTATGGGGTATACATGGTCTCACTGTGTAGATTGGACTGTCATAGTGATCCTCCTGTTTACAGCCTCCCAAGTGCTGGGTTTACGGACTCGAACCACCACACCCAGGCTCAGTTGGGATTACAGACAGGCACTACCCCACCCAGTCTCAATTGTTGTCTCCGCGTGCCCCGTGGGGTGGGACCAGCACGGCAGGCCCAGGGATCTAACTCCCAGCCCTTGCATCTGCCTAAGCAGGAGCTTTAATCCACTGAGCTATTTGGCCGTCCCTTAATTTGGCATATTTGAAAAAAATTTAGAAGTTATTTAGACACTGAAAAAAGAATATTTTACAGTTCTTTTACAACACATCTCTAAGCTGAAAATGGAAGGAATACAGAGAACTCTTAAAAGAACGCTATAAGGTAAAGAAACTCAAAGCTGGCTTGGTGTTGAAAGAATCTACCAAAGTCTACATACATAGATTCTACCCCCAAGAAGGCCACACTGTGAATAAGAGACAGGAGTTCAACTTGAAACTTCTCTTGAATGAAGCCCATTAGGCGACCCTCTTTAAGGCTAGAAAAGCAACAGGCTATTTCCTTATTGCAGGCTAGAAAAGATGGAAGAAAGCAAGATTATTCTGAAGTTGAAACTAGAGGAAAAATAAAAATCTCCTCTGTAAAATTATAATTGTGGCTGAGATTTAAATCCAAACTTTCTAATCTGAAAAAAAAAAAAAAAAAAAAAAAACTCAACTAGATACTTCATTTTAAAATGTTTCTGAATTAGCAGCACCTAAGATGCCCAGCACAAATGCATATCTGTCCCTGCAAAAGAATAGGAACTGAACTTAAAACAAGCCTGAAGATCACATTTTAAAGGTCCACAGAACAGTATGGCTCACAGTAAAGTTTTTTAAAAGGAAAAAGGAGGAAGCACATGAACAAATATGTCACTATGTGTGACAGATTGGTGAAAACAAGAAACTGATTCAGAAACAGTATAGAAGAGGTATATAGACAATCTTAAAAACATATCTAGGGAATAAAAAACACTATAATGAAGGGCTCAAACTTGCTGAAACAAACAGCAACATTGATGTAGTCCATTTTCAGAAAGACACTATCTTCCAAAAGCATCTTTTAGGAAGTGGGTGAAATACAGACATATTCAGACAAACAAAAAGCAGTTTCTCATCAGCATATTCTTGCTGACAGTGTTCTACAGGAGGTACTTCAGGCGGAAGAATGATGGGCTAACAGGCACACATACGTGAAGAGAAAACCAGTGGCAGTTATTTAGACACGCCTAAGAACTATGCATATGAAAGACTTAAGGCAGTGTTTCTTTACTAATGAGAGAAATCAAGAAGAAACAGGAAGAGAGCAAAGTACAGTGTTACCTTTGCAGGTAGGTCTGTGTTTTCATGAAGTTTATATTCCAGCAATACAGCCAGAAAAACCATCAAAATACGTAACTACAGACTGAGCCAAGATCCAGGAGAAATACAGTGGGATACAAATGAGAGACATTAGAAGAAGCTATGATTTTGCCAAGCAGCCTATTGTTTCCTGCACAATATGTTGAGGCAATGAGACTGAGATCCCATGGTGGGGAAAGAGGATGAGTGAGGAACCAGGGGCTCCAAAAAGAACCACATAAAGACCCTTAACCAGCCCCAAGAATTTGGAGTAAGGAGGCCCCCGACTTACATCTAAGAGGATATGATATCCTCCTTTAAGTTACACAAGTGAAAGATAAGGAAAAGGATTAGCATATATGTAGTTTTGAAATTATGGACAGAAAAGTTTTTTCTAAATCATATATGAGAAAGTTACTCCAGCATAAACAGTCTGTCAATAAGAAGGTAAAATAATCACTTGGCTACATATAGAACATGAGTTTTGGAATCTAAAACCAGTTGCTCTAAGGCAGTGTTCTGAGGAATGTCCATGTTTGGGCTCATCCCTTCTGTTCACATGAGCAGCTACCACAACTGCCGAGCTCAAGAGCCAGGTTTCAGTACACGGAACACCTGCCAAGCTCCTCTTAGACCTAGGTCCACCTGGACTGAAGAGCCACCTCTGCAGGCTCGCTGGAGGTCACCTCTGAGGGCATGGGAACACTGAGCTCGCGTACATGTCCGTCAATCACACAAAGAGTGGGAAGTTGTGCAGTTTTCTAAGAGGAAGATCTCACTGACATGGAATCTAAAAAGCTGGCCTCATAGAAACTGAGAGTAGACTGGTGGTTACCATTTCTGTAGGGGTAGCAATAGGTGAAGGAGGGGAGGAAAAAGCTGACAAATGGATCTTGCATTCCATTTAGACAAGAGAGAGAAATTCTGGTGGAAACCACGCAGTACGATAATGGCAGATAAGTTATGTGTTGTGCATCTCAAAAGCTAGAAGGATTTTAAATGTTTTCACCATAAAGGAGTGATAAATATTTGAGTAGATATGTGTAACCCTATTTGATATTACATAATATACACATGTATTAAAATATCACATGGCAAGTTGTTAACATGTACAATTTTATGAATCAGTTAAAATAAATTTCATGTAAAGTAAAAAATCAAAATAAAACTAATGCTTTGGAAACATTTTAAATCAATGGAAAAGTGTAATATCTATTTGCTATTTTGGTGGCTTAGCCATTTAAATACTATCAGTGTTTAAAATACAGCTTAAAATGGGGCCGGGGAGATGGCTCAGTAGAATAAGTGCTTGCCTGGCAAGTGCAAGGGCCTGAGTTCAATCCCCAGTTCCGCCAAAAAATAAAAATAAATAGATAAATAAAATAAAAACAAAAAAAATGCAGCTTAAAGTCTTTGGGTGTGGAAGTGGTAACAATATCTGAATAATGCACTTTATTAATGTTTCCTGTTTGCTTCTGAAGCAGAGCCAGGGGAATACAAGCATGGGTGAGTGAAGGACCAGACCCTACAGAAGACTCTGATCTCATGGAGTAACAGACATAAGTAAGCTAATACAATGCTAGGAAAGACAGTGACTGCAGAAATAAAAGAGACTTGGGCCGGGGAGGTGGCTCAGTGGAATAAGCACTTCCCTGGCAAGTGCAAGGGCCTGAGGTCAATCCCCGGTTCCATTAAAAAAAAAAAAAAAAAGAAGAAGAAAAGAAAAAAGAAAGAAAGAGAGACTCACTTATGAGTTAATTAATTTAACCAGTATTATTCTGCAATTACTTTTGTACTTTGTATATTATTAAATAAAATTTAAAGTAACACCTTTTTACCTGTTTCTATTAACATGCGATATAATGTCAAGAACTCGTATTTTGCTTATTCAAGAATATAAGTATTGGGGGCCTGTCCCTTAGCTCAGTTCTTTAAGTGGCTGCTTCCACAAAGCAGTCAGGCTCAGGTTGCTGCAGTTCGATCCCCACAACTCAAGCCAGCCAAACCTGCCTGAAGGCATTTGGAGGAAAAAAAAAAAAATATATATATATATATATATATATATATATATGTATTGCAATAACACAACTCAAATCTCAAGTACCATTCCTGAACATATAAGAATACAGATGTCTATCAAATACATTTATAAATGAATTTTAAGCTAGAAATGAAAGTACTAAGATTATGTTAAAATGTTACGTACATGTTTTTAATGTCATTACAAAAATCAAACATCAGTGACTGAACACGCTGCAAATGCTGGCGTGTGTTGCAGCTGACAGTAGGCTCCTCCCTCCTAAAGCCACCCAGATGTGAGCACAGTGGCAGCTGAGAGTCCACATGGGCCTCAGTGGTCACTGACCCAGCTGCTGTAACTCTGGTCCAGGGCTTGGGCAGAGCTGAGCTCCAGAAACGTGTACCTCGCACGGATGGTGCTGAGCACTTATCCGTGCCTTATTCTACCACAGATCACACACACGAAGGGCACGAGCTGTCCTCTGGGGCAGCCAGACTCTGCTGTGCAAATAACTGGTAAAAAGCAAAACTGCTACTAATCTCACTTTTGATGCAAAACACTACACACCAAAATGTAAAGAAACAAATAAGTAAATAAATAAATATGTATGAAGATTTTACATCTGAAAGTTTCCATGCCATTTTTGACAGGCATTAATTACATATAGAAACAAAATACAAATAGGCTTAATGTACTTAATAACTATAGTGAAGATGTCTTTTATTTGTAATATAGCAGTGTTTTAAAGAGCTTATAATATTTTTCTCTAGAACACCAGAATCTAAATATAGATACTTACGTTATTGCACTCTCCAAGGAAGTACAGTGCAAATCCATCAGCTTTTGTGGCTGCCAAAGTAATAAAAAAAAATCTCAATAGAAAAATATAATGTACCAATTCTCAAAGGCCATTTGATAGAATCTGCTAAAGTAACCAGTGATCATGCAGTAAACATCACAAAATAATTCATGGCTTTATAACATTACTAGAATAGCTTCATACATTTTTTCATTAGAGATTACAAGTCTTATGACATTCTCAAATGCAAATCACAGGCAACATACTATGCAATAATATATTTGTCATCTATTGGAGAATATATTTTTAATTCAAGAATTATCTTTAAATTTGCATGTTAAGAACATCAGGATTGTCAGGGGGAGGGAGAAAAAAAATGAACAGAGAACTGGTATTCATAACACTGAATCACTGAAATAAGCATCAATCCAAAGGAGTGGTCTGAACTCCACGTATCCACTGAAGCAAATGTAATTGCACAAGATTGACTCTGGGTCACTGAAGGCAATAACACAGCAATGCATAAGGTAAGTCTTGAAGGAATTACACACATTTTACTCAATTCCTTTTTACTTGCGGGTTTTTGGGTAAGACTTAGCTTCTCTCTTCTGTGATTTCTCATCATTAAAAGGTAACAATATCAGTATCATGAGATTATAATGAAAATAAGTTAAAGCATGTAGTATGGATGAAAAAGTACCTGGACACACTAAGGTACTTGATAAATGTTATTACCACCTCTATTATCAACCACAGATATCTTTTAAAAAATCATGTCCCCAAAATAGTGCATCTTTCTAAAAAATATTTTCTGATATAACTTCCCCATTCTTATCACAATATAAGGCATTTTTAGAGTAAAACCGCCATCTTGCCAAATAAATTTAAAATGTTAGTTTTCTCTAAAAATTAATGATTTTAATTAGAAAGATGTGAATTCAATTATGAAAGCCATAGTATGTTCAATTTATATGTTAGGGAGATACTTATTTGAGTTTAGATAATGTAGGAATTTTTTTTTTTTCGGTTTGACCCATTCTGGTAGTTTCATGATAAAAGTTTTAGGCTCCAAACTTGGTCCAGCCATAGAAGTACATGAATGACATTGATCTACCTTTTAATATTTCAATTTTTTGACAAATGTTATAATGTAAGAAAAGAATCTTCGGTCCAGTCTTTCTAAGGGAATACAAAATATTTCTTACCTACTTTGATGATGCTACTCAGCTCATAGAGGAGCAACTGGTTGTCTCCACCTGTGTCCAGCCGCTGCTCAATGTAGCTGTTCAGTTCATATACAACTCCTTGCATATTTGTGTCTTGGTACTTTGAATAAAAATAGCAAAAGTAAAGTCAAATAAAATACAATTATGATTCTGCAATTTGTCAAACATGCTATTAATATGCAACTTCATATGCTGATAGTTATTATGTTTTTATAGTGCATGATATAAATATTATAACTTATTATACAACAAATTAAAAATTAAAAGCTGCCATGACTTATTTAGAGCTATCTATAAACTCTATTTCCATTATTTATATTAAAATATGAAGTTATAAGGGGCCAGGGAGATGGCTCAGTGGAATAAGCACTTGCCTGGCAAGCACAGGGGCCTGAGTTCAATCCCTGGTTCTCCCCCCAAAAAATATATATAGATATAGATATAAGATATAGATAATAAAAAATAAAATATGAAGTTATAACTCCAATTCCAAAATTTTACACATAATAGCAACTTGATTAATAAAACCAGTACAAAAGTCTGTGGAGTGAAACACTGACACATTCCAGGAACAGCCTCCCCAGGCACACTGGAAACAGCCTCCAGGCCCCAGGCCCCATCTGTGCAGCTTAGGAACAGGAGCGAGAGGCTTGGGTGGCAGCTGTAGTCCCCATGGTAGCCGCACCCTCGCAGCATGGCCGCAACATGGCATCATCACAAGACAAGTGGCAACGGCAGATGCTGCCACCCTGCCCAACGATAAACTACACTGAATGAAAACATGCCTTCTAATTAATCTCCCTGCTACCAGGCTTGCTTTGCTCAGCCTACTCTCCACACAATTTTAGAAATGAAACTCTGTCACTCGGGGCTTAGCATGCTCCTAGTATTTCTCACCACAATTTCAGGACCAGCTTCTCTCATGATGGCCTCCCACCCCACAGTGTGGTCACTAAATCTCTGGAAAGTTCCATCTCTCACTTCTCCATCCCTCTGCCTTCAGGGTTTCAACCTGGTCATCTCTCTGTTTGTTGACAACTCCTTTACTTTTATCCTCTGTAGAGCACCATGTTATTTTATCCCAGCAGTGAACATACTGCATGTAGTTAAGTCGGTCTTCAATAAGTGTGCAGTGACCATCCTCATGATCCACAGCAGGCACTGTGCTATACACGAGGCAATATAGAATAAAAAAAGCCAGATTTCTGTCCTTAAAGGGCTTATGGTCTAGTTGCAAGACTATCAAGGTATAAGTGAAAGGCTGGGGAGATAGCTCAGTAGAATAAGCGCTTGCCTGGCAAGCAAAAAGACCTGAGTTCAATCCCCGGTACCACCAAAAAAAAAAAAAAAAAAAAAGTGAAGCAAGCTTTTCAATGGGTACAGAGTAGAGCTGCCATGCTCAGTAAGCTGAACTCTATTCCCAAAATTGATGTATTAGTCTTTCTGTTACCAGACACAGTACTTGACACTCATAACTTGAAGTGGAAGAGTTTCCATTTGACTCATCATTTTTGAGGTTCAGACCATGGACAGTTGGGCCCATGGCAGAACAAGGCAGAGGGCATGGCAAATGGCAAAGCAAACATGCTTACTTCACAGCAACTAGAAAGCAGGATGGGGAACAATGCCAGAAAAGAAAGTGACAAGGACCATACATATGCTATATATATAGCACCCAAGAGTATGCCTCCATGACCTACCTAAAAATATGCTCCACCAGTCCCCAAGAGGGTCCCAAAGTCAGTCATTTAGGCTGACACTTTACCCTAAGTTCCTCAGGTAGCCTACACTAAATAAAGTTCCCTGGTATAAAGTCAAAAACTCAGAAAGACTGGGATAGTAGAGCTAAGTAGCTGTGTAGGCCTGTGTGCCCATCCTCTAGTTCTGCCTTTTGGGCACTCCTCCACAGGACCTGGCCCTGCGTTGCAGGCTAGAAATTCATGTGGGGTCTGCTGCCAACAATTGTGTTCCTTGTGTTCACCAAGAAGAAATCTCTGAGTAGCAGGGATCAAGCAGCAGCCCTCAACATCTAGGGACAAAGTAAATGTTGTTAAAATAATAGACACACCTGAAGCTGCAATCACAGTGAACTGACCAGTGGAGATCTTCTAAAACTGGCAACCTGTCCACGGTAATGCATTCCTGGAATTGAATAGGGCAGCCTACTGTGGTTTTAGTTTCTTCATCTGGCTAACCAGAAAAAATTCTGGCTTAAGTGAACAAAAAATAATTTGAATAAAACAGAAAACCAGAATACTTCAGTGAATCCCTATAACTTTTCTTTTCAATCAGGAAAGTGGAGGCCAGGCCTGCTTGAAAAACAACCAGAAATCTATAATGCAGATCTTCCAACCTCCTCCTCTCCGAGAAACTGATGAGCACCTGTCTGCTCCATAACTGTGTGTGGAAAGGCTTATTTACCTGACTGAAGGAGCACAGGACACTCACTGTATGCTGATACTAATTTTTTTTAAATCTTTTATTTATTTGGTACAGGGTCTTACTATGCAGCTCAGACTCTAGTGAACCTGCTGTCTCAACCTCCCCAGAGCTGGGATTACAAGCATGTGCCACCATGCCCAGTTTCGGAGGCCAGCATGGTGGGCCTGGGGTTCAGGGACTGGCACAGCATGCAATACTGGGAACTGAACCCAAGTCCTTGCACTTGCCAGGCAGGCACTTGGGTCATGAGCTATCTCCCCAGCTCTGCTGATACTAATTCTCAACTCAACCACCATTAACAGTGTATCAGGCAGAGAGATTTAAAGAGATTGAGGGGATCAATGAGCTAGAGCCCCAGGGCTCTCGAGCACACCCTCCAGAGATGAAGGGACTCAAGAGGACTGAGTCCCAGTGGTTCTCAAGCACACCCTGTGTAACCAGTTTTGTAAGGAACATCTGGAAAAAGACACATGCAGCAACTGGCAGGAGTTCCACTCTGAGAACACTCTCATCTAGGTAGGTAAGCCTTGGAGAAATCCAGGAGAAAAATCTCCAAGTAGAGAACAGAAATACATTAATGAACATGACCTTAAAGCAGCAAAACAGAAACACACCAGGTGATGCTTATGTTCTGACAAAAACTTCCAAACTCACTGACTGCTGTCTTTCAGGCCTTGCTTGCCATGGCCACTGCTTACATCACTCCCAAGCAGAGGGCTTGAGAGCTAACGAAGGCCACAGCTCTTGGGCGTGTGCTCTGCTCTCGCACTGCCGTGCTTTGTGCCTGTGTGGCAACCAGCATTTTGAGGTCTGACGTCCTCCCTTAGCCTTGTAGATCCTCCCTGCTTTGTTGTACACTCACACCCAGGAAACCACTGGCTATACACTACTTCTGTGATTTCTTATTGCTAAAATTTTATCTTGTTAGCACTTAGCCATTACTTTTCCATTATATTCTAGCTTAAGGCTTTTTCCACATCCTGTGCTGCTTCTATACATAACTGTAAAATTACATAGAACTTGTACAAAAGTTATGACCACTTGAATACACATGCCTTGTAAATGCTGCTTCCTTTATCATCTATTTAAAAAAGAATCTTATTGGAACCACTTTAAGTTTTGAAGACTTCTAGATAAAATAGTCTACTCTAACACAACCTCTCTTCTCTACTATTAATGAGAACCAGTAGTTCTGTTTCACCCCAAAGTCCTGGGGAAGAGTTTATCTGAGAATCCCAGTCAACCAAAAGGAACACTGAGCCAAGAGACAGACACTAGGGCTGGCAAGATAGCTCAGCAGACTAAGTGTCTGCTTAGGCAAGTGCAGGGACCGGGGTTTGATCCCTGGCACCACATGCTGCATCGGCCCAGGCCCCAGGCATGGTGAGCTGGCCACCAAGACCAAGCTTGATAGTGCATGTCTGCAATCCCAGTGCTGGGGAGGCTTACAACAGGAGGATCACTACAAGCTCAAGCTGTATAGTGAAACCCTGTACCAAATATCTACATATATAGATATTATATAGATTTAGATATAAATCTATATCTAAATAGATTTATTTAGATATAAAATAAAGGTAAAATAAAATAAATTTATTTTATTTATAAAATAAAGATTTATAAAATAAATCTATATCTACTTAGAGATATATATATATATATATCTACATATATATAGAGAGAGAGAGACAGACAGACAGACAGACAGACAGACAGACAGACAGAGAGACTAGGAACTTTGAATCCCTAGATCCAAACATGCAAAAGTCTTTATGCCTAAAATTCTATTCCTAGACATCTGTTACGCATGAACAAATACAGTCTTTGAATTGCTCATTTTTTTCTTGGTGAGGGGAGCTGTAGCTGGTTCTAAGATGGATTCACAGTTATTTAGTAGGATCCTTATACAAGTGACAAACAGGCTGATTCTTTCCTTAATATGTGACAATAGCATACTAAGCCTAAGCCTTTTAATAATGGCTTGTGTGCAGTGTTGAGATCAATAGCCAGTTGTTTTCTCTCTCTTTCAGACAGGAAATAGATTGTCATAAACAAGTGAGAACAAGAAAACATTCTGGGATAAGGACAGTTTATCATGAGAATTCAGATTCCATTTCTCTGGGCTTTTAAGTTTTCTCCTTTGTTTGACAAAGATGGATTACACTGACTTTAAAACACTTTTTGCCTTTAACTTTTCATGATAAGCTATGACCTACTTTTTAATTTTTTTCTTGTTTATATTAAGCTTCAAGTTCTAATCTTCAGCTTGACAGAACGTTGATACATCCTGCTTCCTTTGTTACTTATTACAGTTGTATGATTATAAGAGTGAATGTTTTACTAAGATTACTATTCTATTTGATAAAATATTAACACTCAAATATTCAAATTTTAATTAATTTTATTTACTTTTAAAGATTTAGTGAATCTTTCAAACAAGAATATAGTGTAAAATTTAAATTACATGCAAGTGTCAAATAATAAGCATAATTACTCTTTGATATTAACTTTATAGTTACTTTGCTACTTATTGGCACTATTTTAAAAGACTACGTAAGGAAGTCCCACACTGAGGAGATGCTTTGAGGCCCACTGCATAAGGAAAGCTAACTAAGAAGTGAATTCAATTGAACTGAATACTTTTAATTATATGGTTTA